GAACTGCATTATGGGACTTATTTAAGTATACAAGGTGGGTAAATACAAAATAAGATCAACCCAAGGGAGGTTTTTGAGCCCGCAATCAAGACTGAGCAACCCCCACAAACCCTTGTTTTTACTAAAAACCGCTGGACACGAAACCTCTCCTGGGTCGATGTTACATTGTCACAACCTACAAGGTGTTCCTCAGTGAACCTAGCTCAATGGTCTTATTGTCCTCGAGTTGCTTGAAGCTCAGTTGTACAGCATGTGGAGTACCCTATTTTAGGTAATTAAAGCTCCATGAAATTATGGTACTGGAAATTAACGCGACATTAGAGGAAAACGACTTTGAAATAAAGAAAATTAACGAGGAAGAGAGGATAACAGTTCAAAATGGAAAGAATTAACGGGATGCTCGGGATGCTTGTTGAGACAACAGAAACAAAGTTAGGCCCAGTTCAAACGTCGAACTTTGTATGTACCAAACTTAATACCTATTTGGGTCGACCCAAATGACAACAATTCGACGATTAATTCGGGCGTCGAACTTAATTAGTCGGACTTAATTCACTTTCACGATGTACAATGGTCTACAATGCTTAGCAGTGAAATGAATTCAGTAATTTATGCATTAGTTTCGGCACATGAAATTTCGAAGTTTGAAGTTTGAAACGTAGTCGCTCTACAGTCGAAAATCCCACGTGGGCCACTCGATCTTAATTCATGGGTCCACCCAAATTAAATATGTCGGACTTAATTGCTTCAAATGTCGATCTCTTCATGTTCTTAATGGAAGGGATTAGAATCGGTACATGAAAAGTTCGACTTTTGAACTGGGCCTTAAACGTACAATCTGAAATGGAAACTTTGTTCGAGGTACTTTCCCTAACGCACGAAGGGAGTCTAACGAAGAAATATGGCCACTTCGAGGGTTCTTCGCAGTTTTACTGTTACTGGCGGATCTCCATCCTTATAAAACACTCCTCTTTTCTACGTGTGAAGAATGTCCGAAGTGTATTCAAAATAATGGAAATCTCAAGGTCGCGTAAATCAACACTTCACATAGTCTCCCATGCAGGCGTTTTTAGGGGAGCTAGTATTTCGTCCCTCCCCACAAACGCCTGCTCTACCGAGAACAACATTTTTTTCCCCATGTTTTATTTGCGCGGTAAGTGACCAATCAACAGTTTCGAAATATAGTGAAATAAAGTTTTGACAGGCTAAACACGACTTATAATCTCGTGGTAGTGTAAAAGCGTGACCCTAGAGTCACCTATTTCCTTCTTTTCGTTCCTTCGCTAAGTTAGCCTGCGAGCCGCAGACGTATTTCCGGTCGTCGCTTCTCTCCCTCCGAAGGTTTTTCTCGGCGAGTGAAACTAGAGCAGACAAAACCGGATGCTCTGGCAGGCTATCGCTAAGGTTATGCAGTGTACGGATTATTCTAAAATCTGACTAAATCTTGCTTTTGTCGCTCTGAGTCTAACATTTACTAGAGGTCATAAAGCTGTCCCAGTGTTTCATGCAGATCGACTAATATCGGGTTACCCTGCGGTCGAAGTCAACCTTCCAGAATTTGGAAGGTACAATGTGATTGGCTAAGCTTGGGAAAGGAATGTTGTTCTCGGTTGAGCAGGCGTTTGTGGGGACGAACGAAATACGAGCTCCCCTAAAAACGCCTGGGTGGGAGGCTACGCTCCATATTACCGGCGGGAAAATTAACGTTTTAGGAAATAAACGCGACTTGAATTCGTGAAGCGTTAATTTCCTATAAAAAGGTAATAACCAGAAGGCGATAGGCTCGACTCCTGTTAAGACAATTATAAAATCTGGTAATATTATGACCTTCCGCTATGTGGTCAGACTTGCTCTGATTCAGGCACAACATCCGGGATATTCAAGTCTAGGTGCTATGGCAACTAACCTGTCTTCCTTCGCTGAGATGATCTCTCATCTTCTCTAACTCGTGTTGTAAATCAGCGATGGTTTTAATCCTTTCCTTCAATTGCTTCTCTGTGGTTTGAAGTTTCTGCAAAGGGCAAAAAAAGAAATCAAAGAAGTAAAATAACATAATTGGTACTCACATTCACAGGAAAAGACAAGAGTCGACACTCTGTTTGAATACAGGCTTGGGTAACGATGCACAAATGATCTATCTCAATGAACTGCCTAAGCAAGCCGTTTACAAATTATCCTACGGCTAAACTTAATGCATGTAAAACCGGCAGAAAAAGAAAAAGCTACTTAAGTAAACGAGCAATTAGTTACAAGGAATTACCTGCGCTAACGAGCTTGCAATACAAGCATGCATTAAAATTATTACATGTACAACTACAACGAAATAAAACTGTGATTACTGTTGGTATTAGCTTCTTCCAGTGGCTGCTTTCGTGGAAACTTGGACGCTTTACATTCCGCAAAAATTCAAAGTGTGACTTTCCCGATAAACCTAAAATATTGTGTGGCCCTGTGCTGAAAATTTACATGTTTTTTTCAAGTGGCTTGACATTCATTAAACTTCAACGGACTCTGAAAACCTGTCAGCCGCTCAGATCAGAACAAACCTTGACATTTAGACAATATAGAACGAATTATGACCCCATTAAAAACAACGGAATGAGAAAAAAATAACAAAAATTTTGCGAAAGACAAGAGTATTAACAGAAACAAGGATATTTAATTTCTGATAAAACATGCTTGATTTTGGACAATCCAGACTTCTTTGGTATTAACTAAGAAACTACTGGGAAACATAACTATTCAGTTTATTGACATTCCTGAAAGGACATTTGTCTCGTTTTGCCTTCAAAACATGAAGATGTATCAACAACACAAAAGCTCAAAAGCCGAATCCATTACACTAAGTAAAAAAGTAAACGAACTCCCTGCTGCACCCTCGCTGCACGCATTTGCAAGCGTAATACAGTCACAGCGGAAGTTTAATAGCACACAGTAATTTTCAAGGAGTTATAATAACTGCTCTAGTGGGGTTAATTTAACTCCTAACAGTGGAGTTATTTTTTCGGAGTTATTTTAACTCCAAAAAGGAGTTTAAAGAACTCTTTTTCAGGAGTAAAAAGCACCCTAGATCTGGAGTTAATACTGAGGAGTTAAAGTAACCCCCAAAAAGGGGTTATCCTGTACATAAAATTTTTACTCCATTTTTGGAGTTATAATAACTCCCTAAAAATTACTGTGCACGAAAATAAAACGGCGGCTTACGAGAATGAACTGGACAGAAAGGAATGTGGGTTTATCAATAGCCTTCGTGTAAAACGTGTTAACAATGACGATAAAAGGATACTTGTCTTGGCTTTACTTATTACATGTAACTTTGTACAAAAACATTGTTGATTAGAGTTGTGTAAGGTTTGCTATGAATTAATCCTTCATAGAGTCATAACTTTGCGAATATTTGACCAATTTCTATGAAATTTAGCCAACCAAATTATCCTGTAATTATCTGAATAATATAGGCTTAACATATCTCTAACACTCCCTTGCGTATGTATGTGCCAAAAAATATGTACTTAAAAGTTCTAAGTGTTTAAGAATAATAATAATAATAACTTTATTTTATTGTCAATATATTTAGCTCAACAGTTATATTAGCTAATTGGGAACACTTTCCTAAGAACTGGCACTAATCTATTGCATGACTTTTAAATTAATGATCTTACCTAAACCCTAAAACTATATACAAATGTAGATGACTCAGAATTTACACAAGTCACAGCAGTTACTATTGTTCCTAGAAAGGTCCACACCGCGTATATGTTTCTTGAATGTTTTGAGGCTTGTCAAGTTTCTGAGCTCACTACTGACTTTTGACCAAATGAAAGGTCCTTAGTAGTGTTTGAAAAGTGAATTTAAAATGTTACTGCGGGCGCAATTTCAATGAAGAGAAGCACATGATTTAGGGCCTGTTTACATGGAGGTGGGGGACTCCAGGTAGGTGTGGTAACATGTGGCGGGTCACCCCACCCATCATGTAGACGTGATCGAATTAAAATGAGAGATTATATGGACAGGCGGGTCCCTGCCTTGGGTCCCCCCACCTCCATGTAAACAGGCTCTTAGAGAAATGGTTAAAATAGTTAAATTAACTCAGGGTTGTCATTTAGAGCCGGGGGCCGGGGATTTTCTCCGGCTACTAAGAGAGTGGCCCCCGGCTACTTTTATTGAAAAATAGAAGAAAAATAGAACCAAAAAAAATCCCTAGCCCTTTGATTCCCCGCCTACTTGTTGTATTTACCCGGCAACTTGAAATCTTAGTGACAACCCTGGTTTAACTAATTCTTTAGTACATCCTTAACCATTATTCCACATAATGGAAAATGAAACACGATAGAAACTGTACCTATGTACTGGCTGTTTACTAATTATCAGACCGATTACAAGGTGCTAAACCTAGAACTCTAAAATGAAAAAGGTGATGTTTCAGATGGGAAGACCTTTATAACTGATCCCTCTATTCTTACCCCTTTTGTTGCATAAAGCTCTTGTTCTAATTTTTGTGCCTCTTTCTCCACTTCTTTAGCGGCCTTCTGCCTTCCCAGCTGAAAATAATAGGAAGAAAGCTTGAACGTTACATACAGTTTGTACATATTTATTAACTCAGGGGCACCCAACGACTGTTTTCTTTAAAATATCTGTTCGGAAAAGCAACTATTCCCGAGAATTTTCTATCAGTTACTTGACGACGGCTAAAAATTTCTGGATGACCGTTCCATTCATGAATAATTTTCGAAGCTTATCGTGTAAATTCTCTAAGATTTTCTGAAGATTAGTTTTCGCATTTTACTTCCCAAGAAAATGTTTCACTTTCGTAATACGTCAAATTTCATCTCAAATTTTCGGGAAAATAATACTCAAGTCCTTGTAATTTCGAAAAGACTCAAGTTCCCCTAGGATGACCTAACAGACACAAATTTTACAACGCCGCTTAGAATGCTTTTCTAGATATCTTAAAGTACTCTGGATAGCCTAAAAAGTGTTTTCAATGTATTTAGGAGCAAACTGTCGTTGGGTGCCCCTGATTAACCCTTAAGTGAAAAATACTATACAGGATGTTAAAAGGAGATTGGGTACTTTGACAGTTTGAACGTTGTCGTTTTTAGTGACATATAAGGGAGCTTAAGCAACGACGACGGCGACGTCAACGAGAACGGCAAAAAAGCAATTGGTTTAGACATGACAAGAAAAACAACAACTTTGCACGTGCATCACGCTTTTTTGTACATTTCTTTGCCGTCACTGCACGACTACGACGTCAAACTTCCTGATTTCACATTTTGTGGAGGACGTGAACACAAGACAACGACCTTCTTTTTCTTTCTCTGAACTTCGATACAGTCTTTTAGAGTTCAACTCTTGGAAAATTTGTCAATATTTGACGAATTGAATGAGATGGAATAAGCGCGATAAAGTTTAAAGCCACGCGAATTCACTTTTTAAGTGATGTTTTCGTAGCCGTCGCCGTCGTAGTTGCTTAAGCTGCCTTGTAGCTTTAGTTCCAACGGTTCAATAGTGAGCTTAAGAAAAGACACTTTGAAACGATGCACGTCAACTGGAAGTAGCGTTTTTGCCTTTTGGCTAGTGGCCTCGCCCAAATTTTAGGGCAAATGATCGTCTCTATAAGAGTTATAACACTTAGCAATACAAATCTGGTGGCGTCAGGGCATTAACAGGGAAACGGCCTGACTTCCGATCGACGTGCGTCGCTTAAAACGCCTCTACTAAAACTCCCTAAACATGTAGTCGAATGATTGTACAAGTGACTCTTCTGTGTTACTCTGCATGCGAGCAAGCTTTTCAGTCGAGTTACATTGTTTGAAGCCACATGCAAGCGACACACGACAGGAGACACGAGAGAGTAGGTTGAAGAAAGAAACGAGGGCTCGCCACACAAAATAGAAAGCTTGCTCGAAGGCTGTTTTTATAAAGTTTCAGCTGTTGGCAGTTTAAAAGCGTCTATTCGAACTCAAATCACCACATATCTTTGCATTAACTTTTACGGTTGAACTTGAGAAAGGATTTTGCCTACACTAGGAGCGTTGCGTGACGACACTAAAATGGCTGAGAGGGAGACTAGCATCCGGTGCACATCTCAGCCCCATAATTCCGAATCCCGGCTACAAACAAGGAAAATCCCGGATCCCGGATCCCGAAAAACCTATTGGGAACCCTCGATACAGCCGAACGTGTAACGCAGAAAAAGTAATCGTTTCTCGTCGTAGCCTGCGAACAAGCTCTCCATGGCCATTTGGTGGAGTCGCGAGTCCCTCGAGGCTGGCTTCGTTCCCTCCAGAAATGGAGAGTCTGCTAGTGGCTTCTCCACGTAGCGGAGGGCGCCTCTCGAAACTTCCCAACGAAGGGGGAGTGTTAAGAGACAGCTGTACTCGCAGGCTACGATTAAAATTATCTTTGAGGTTAAGGCAACATTAGCTTTGTGTATTATATCTAACCTTCGTCGACATGGTGGAAATTGTTGAATCCTTTTCACGTAGTTCCTTCTTAAGTTTTTCAATCTCTCTCTTCGCCTGATGCACTAAGGCGTCCTTTGCAGAGTTTTCTCTCTGTAACCCGTTCAGCAGTGTCGTGGACTGCATTTTTTGCTTGTTTAGCTTTTCATTTTCGTTGGATAGTTGAGCAATTCTTCGCTCCTTCTCAGCGATGTCAGTGCGTAACGATGCGATCTTGTTTGTGGTTGCGTTTGGGTCCGTTTTAACCCAAGCGGAAGCCTTAGACTGTGAATAATAACCAAAAATATCCCACTTCCATAAGCTTTTACCGTGAAACTCTATTTAAAATAGAACGTTTTCCAAGTTGTCGAGGAAAACTTGCTTCAGGAAATCAAAATACATAAACAAGCGCCCCAATAAACAGTAACAGGTAAAGGTAAAGAGTCCTTATTTTATGTCGGTAGCTCGAAATAGTCATTTGACTAAGGGTTGATTTCCACTGTTGCGTAATGTTTCCGTGTGAACGCACGTAAAATTTCCGCCCGTAAATGAAATAAATAGAGAATACTTCATGGAAAGTGCTGGCGTACGGTATTTACGCACGAGTTGTTGACGTATCAGAAATCGAACGAGTGAGCGCAGCGAACGAGTAAGATTTCTGATACAAAAACAACGAGTGCGTAAATACCGTACAAAGCACTTTCCATGTGGTATTGTGTTTATTATATACATACTGAGTCATTCATCATTTTGCGGGCCTTTTTATTTTACATCTTTCAAAAATGCTAAAATTTGCCGCTACACACTTACCGCAAAGTGACAACGAAAACGAAGTATCAGCTTTTTAGTAAAAACGTTTGTTAAAAACATAAATGACGGTGAGGATATGAGGTAATCCAAGAACTATAAGTAATCTTAACTGTTTGTTCTCAATGCACAATTGAAAATGAGTGAATTTAAGTAAAATGGCTGGTTTCAATATAAGCTTAAGCTTAAATGAAAGGCAAAGTAGCTCCGACAAAAAGCACAACAAAAGCTTACGTCTCGTTCTGTTTATCCCTTTCCGCTGTTGTTTCGCCGGCTCTCTACCGTATTTTTTTATCGACAGTGAAACAAACGAAACTATTCCACTCCATTTCCGAAATGTTTTTCACTTTTTTAGCGAGAAAAACTCCTTGAGTAAAACTTTTCTCGTTGAATGTGTGCGAAGCGGCGCTGCAAGCTGCAATAAAAGGCGGGAATTTTGACGCGAAACTCGCACACCTCTGTGGCTTCTGATTGGACGTATCATTTTTCTCACACGTGAAAAAACATCGTTCGCGATTCTGATTGGACGTATCGCTTTTTTCACGTGTGAAAACCATCGTTCGCTCCTCTGATTGGCTAGAACTAATTTGCGTACGAAAATTTACGACATAGCTTTTTGGTGAGAGTATGTATATAATAAAGACATATATAGGGCCGTTTATACGAGAGAAAATAAGTCGCGGCTTACTCGGGCCGAGGCTTACATAAGCCGCGAAAGGAACCATTTATACGAGTACAGCTTACATAAGACGCGAACTGCTGGTATAAATGGTTCACGGCTTAGTTCGCGGCCAGACCGGTCCAATGATGACGTAGTTTGTTTAGGTGCCTAGCGTAATTTGCGAAAAGCGAAACGATTGGCTTTGGTCTAAAAAATCGCCTTATTTTACATTCTTTCAAATTCACTTTTCGCTCAAGATTAGCGTTGCGCTGTTGCGAAACTTGTCGGAAACCTCGACGAAAAGTTCGTCAGCGATCAATCGAGTGGTTTGAAAGAGATGTTCCAGGGATGCATATGGATGAGGTGTTGTTTAGACAAAATTTTGAGTTTTCTCGTGCAGCAGGTCACTTTCCCGCCACTGCAGCGCGCGTCTCTCAGCCGTGAAGGTCTGGGATATAATTGAAAACAGAGCATGCGCAGCAATCGTTCACGGCTTCAGCAGGCCGCGGACAACGTTTTACTGCCGTTTATACGAACACTTTCACGTCCAAGGTAAGCCGCGGCTTGGATAAGCCCAACCCAAAACTCCTCGGCCAGGATAAGACGCGGCTTGAAGTAGCCGTGGGTTGAATAAGCCGTGAGCGTAGATTTTGTACCATTCATACGGGGTGTTCGCGGATTATTTAACCAGGGGCCAAAGTAAGCCGCGGCTTGTTTTCTCTCGTATAAACGGCCCTAATGTATGAAAGGCAACGCGTAAACGTGAAAGTTGAGCAAAGATCAACTTTTACGTTTAGGCGTGACCTTCCACACATTGTCTCTATTTTATTTACGCGCGTTCGCAAGATAAAAATTACACGACAGTGGAAATTGACCCTAACAAATCTGAGGCCGACGGTGCGCTCGTTTTATCCGCCCTCTCTCCATCAGTGATACGTTTTACGCGTATTTAAAGCTACTTAAGGTGATTCCCTAGTAAAAGAACCTAACATAGATTGTAGATGAAACTTGGTACACTGATGTAACAAGTGAAGAATATGATAAAAAAGTAATAAAAAGTGGGGGTCACCGTGCTCGTTTTGACGTCACAATGCTGACAAATACGGCTATTTTGGACCATTTGACAAAAACCGCACGCAGCCCAAAACTAGACAAAAAGGAAAGATTTTTTCAATGATGCATGAGGTATCGCACAGAATTTGACTTTAATGTATTGTTTATCCACTTACGTACCATAAAAATGCCTTTTAATGCCCTTGTTTTTACTTTACGTTCCAAAGTAGAATTAAATTGGACACGCGCTATTCGACCCGTGATAGCTCAATCCGTACAATTTAGTAAAATTGCCAAAAAACTGAATATAGATTTGTGCCAATTTTTTTCTCACCGAAAGGAAGCACTGTCCTTATTAAAATCATGAAATAAAAAATGGGGGTCACCGTACTCGTTTTGCGGTAGAGCTGCCGAAAGTGCGCACCAAATGCATTTTCCTTGATTTTTGAGAGAGGACGGGGGCGAGTTTCGAAATAGAATGTATGTGAAAGGGGGAGGAAAGTATTAAAAAATCCGTTTTTACAGAATTGACATCGAGATATCACATTTAGGACACAATGCAGGGCTGCAAATAACGGCCGGTCAACGGACAATGTCCGGCCTGATCGCGGACTTGACCGGCCAAACTTCGGTCTTGCCGGTCATTTTGACCGGTCATTTTTGGATACAAACACTTTATTTTCCATACAATTGTCGCTTAATGCTCTATAACGCTGCAATGATTTCTTTTTTCTTTGGCGTTTTTTGCTGCTTTGCACTAAACCCTTCTAAGAAAAAGAACGCCGCAATAAATTAATTTCATGTCGTCATGTCGTAATCTAACGCAACAAAGTGAATAACAAACTGAGTTGGAAAGTAACGCAACGTTGCAAGTCGTACTGTACTTTCGGCTTTGCTGTAATCAGCAATGTGACCTTCTTTGGGAATTCGAAGGAATTCAGACAAATCGATCGCAATTCTCAACAGGTCGTCCTGTGTTTCTCCGGGAATAAATGTTAGCGCATCGATTAATAATAATTTCTGTTATGTCGAACATGAATCTCGTTTGCAGACTCGATTCCAGAATGGTCTGATAAAAATTTAAGCTACTCAAGAGGGAAGGTCGTTGTCTATCGCGGCGCTAGATTCTCGCTCTGGTAAACAACTTTATGCAAATTTCTGTTGACATTTGAGCCCTTCGCGATAAAATGTTGCGCGATGACCCCAAATTTATTTATTGACTTCTGATCATCAACACGCTGTTTGCGGAACAAACTTCTCGCCAATGCAAATCAACTTCTTTGCCGAAAATATCAGCGACGATTCTTCTCTGAGGAAGTGACTTTCGATCACGTGCCAGGCAAGGAAAAAGATCAAGTTTCACCGATGTTCATTTCGGAACATCAACGTAAAACAAGCGTGTGCAGATTTTGTAAAATAACCCAATTGTTTTTTTTTTTTCGTAATTTCTAAAGTTTGCTGAACTGTATGTGTATTCCGTTTCCTGAACCTTGGGAGTTTGAAAAGGATTTACGCTTCACTTTTTACCTCTAGAGACTTCAGACACCGCCGTACAATGATACTCAAGGTAGAACGTAACATTAAAACGCGCGAAAACCGCGGAAGGGAACTCTACAACGTGCGAATGCATTTTTCACCAATTTGCTGTCAAAAATGTGAACGTCAATGTAGTAATAATGATCTATTGCCAGCATAACTGGATATTCCTTAGGCAAAAAAAATTATTAGTATTCATTATTTGACCGGCCAGAATCGGGGTTTGTCCGGGCTAAAAAATATTTGGCCGGTCATCATGACCGGCAACCTGCTGTCCGTTATTTGCAGCCCTGCAATGTGATAAAGAAAGCGTTTAAATGACAATCAAAGTGAATAAGCACAAATTAAAAATCCGCTATCGAGGTTCTCCGTGAGGAAGTCGAACTCAGCAACACGCGTACTGCTTACGTTATGCACATTCCCACCACATTGAGTCTCACCTCGGCAAGAAACAACCGCAAGCAAAAATTGCAATAGCGTTTCTCTTCGGCCAACTTCATTTTAATAATGTTACTTCACATGCTCTTTTTTACGGAGGCCATCTTGTTATGAGCAGTAAGAGATGCGCAATGCAAAACCAGGGAATCACCTTAAAGCTACACGGAAAGGGGACTCAAGAAGTCGATAGAAGGATTTGAGGTCACACCTGGGAATCGTACTCAGGACCTCCCGCCCAGAAGGCCGCGTACTAACCAACTGTGCTAATCCTTCCTACTTCATTGAAAAAAAAAAAGCCTTGAAAAATTCTTCCCTTCAATTTACTGCAGTAAGCCTACTTTCTGTGTAGTTTTTCATAGTAACTAAAGTAAAATTCCGGTTACCAGCGCTTGAAGCACATGAAGCAACACGCAGATTGAAAATATTCTGCTTGTAATCATTCCCTGTTTCATCACACTTCGGCTATAATTAATACTCTTCTACCGTGCTTTTGCCATCTCTCATTGAGAACAAGTACGATGTTCATTAATCATAATAACAACTCTGATCTTGCTTACGGCCGGCTAGTTGAAACACCCTCAAAACCCCTTTCATAATTGTAGAAGCAAAGCTCATATAATCAGGATTCAACAACGTTTCATAGGTAAAGGCCTTGTCCAAACTGTTACCTTTTAATATACCATTTTTGGCAGAAAAGGTAGTCCTTTTCGTATACCTTTCATTTACAAATGGTACCCCTATCTCATACCTACTATCAGTTAGTCTTCTTGCGTAGCGTTTAATAAATTAAATTGATAAGGCCGTAAGATGCGTCGGCTCGAAATATTCAAGTTAAAGCCCCTTCTGAACACCTATAAAAAAGACGATTTTCCCTACCCTTTCATATACTTCAACTCACGAAATCCTTACTCTGGTACATATACCCGAAGCCTGAAAAAGGTACCCCTTTTGGGCGGGGCCTTCCAGTATAGGCATCATGGAAAGTATCTCCACTGGCAATATTTAGGACAAACCTGTGCCTGTAATTGGTCCTTTAAAGTAGCAACTTCATTGTTTTTGGCGTGCAGTTGATTCTGGTACATCGCTAGTTTCTGCGCTGCTGCCTTCTCGTTTTCTTCCTTCTCTTGTACAATCGCTTGCAACTGCGATACTTGCTCACGAAGCTGATGAATTATGCTTGCATTAGAAAACGCTGAATCCTCTCCAACTCTGATAATAGTAAAAATAGAAAGCATCACATAATGGTCGTGAAATGATTTCAAACAGCATTTTGATTGTTTAAAGTGATCACAAGCGGCTTTGCAATCGCTTAGCAATCACAAAGGCGACAGTAGAAAAGAGTTACCAATAACACGATTTTCGCACCCTTTCAAACATCGAATTGTCACCGGATTTTTCCAAATTGTTCAATATGTCAAATGCAGGTGACTTTACCAAGAGTAGAATTCCTTAACGAATGTTCAGCTTACGGTTTAACACCCCATAAAACGTTGCATTAGAGAATGTCACGTTGTTGTCGTGCAGTAAGCCGTGGGCGGCTACAAACGTACCAAAACGTTTGATAAACCTGACGAGTTGTTTTTTTTCACTGGGTTTTCTTAAGGAGAGGAGACTCTAGTTCATTGTGTTAATGCGCTATGAAACTTAACGTTAGCAAAGAAATCACTTGTGAATGACAAACTTACAATTTCTTGTCAAACATTATGCACTCTAAGCATTATATCAAACGTTGCAAACAACTTTAAATAACTGTAAGGCTAATTAGTTTTAAAAACCCAGAATTGCAATCCGTTTCAATCTTCTTAAACTTTGTCCATCCGAGCCTTCTTTTACATTTGCCTTGTTACTTGTACCTTCTTTTAATGTTTTGAGGGGTAATCTTTAATGTTTCACTCAATTTGGTGGAATAAATTTTGTTGCTCAGCTCCTTTAAAGTGGCTTATGCTTTGTTGCATCCCTAAAGAAGACCATACTCGATCCAACACAGTCTGACGGAGTTTTAGATTTTTTATGCAGGTGCTTCTTTGCTCACCAACCTGAGCAACACCTTTACAAGAATGAATATTAAATGTCATTCTTTCCGTCTTTCGCATCCTACGTGAAAGCTGAAAATCTGCAATTTCCAACCCTAAGCGAGACAGCAATTACCCGATTCATTTCCGTTAAGGAGTCCCTTGCATCACTTCTACATGCTATTTCATGACTTAGGAGTTTCATGTTGCTTTGTTAGTGACCTCAGAATTAACCATTTTTTGCCGAGTCATGGCTCAAATCAAAAGAGAATAATTCTGGAATCTAGCGACCGTACACAGGCAGTAGTCAGTGTGGTAGGAAGAGAGTCTCCTGTTATAATAGAAACCGCGTTTCAATATAGGTGAAACATGTTTAAAAAAGGACTCCAAAAGGCAATTTGTATTTTGCTCAAAACCAGTCACTTTATTGGTGACTAGAACGACACACCAGAATTAGAAACAAAAGATGTGTCATTAAGGTATGCGTCACTGAATGTCAAATGCGGATACCAATTCGACAAAAGCGACGTTACCTGGTTTTGGTCTTTTTTATTGCCAAGTTGTATCAGTTGTTAGTTACTTCATTGACTGCAAAGAACCACTTTCAACCCGACAAGATTACACGACCATAGTTTCTGATCTACGTTTTCAACAAATTTTTAAAGGTTATTCAGAACAAATTGCAATAAAATCTTTATTAAAAACCGCAAACGGGCTTGTTTTTCATTAAAGAAAAACCTTCATCATGAAGGTGGATCACTCACTGTCTAGCCTGTTCCAGGCTCTCAGATCATTGCACTATCAGATGGTAGGGATGACGCGTAAGTGAAAGGCGCACGAAAATGATGAGCGCATGATATGGAAAAAGGAGGTTACCTCCCGTTTGATTTTCGCATTCGCGCTTTCTCACGGACCCAACCATCTCGGAGCCTGGAACAAGCTAACCGCTGTCTTAAGTGGACATTAAAAAGAGCAAGTGTACCTGAAACTGCCACTTGACTGCAGAGCTCCTTTCAGATGAACAACCTCATCTCTCAGAGCTGCAATGACGCCATCTTTACGATGACACTCTGCTTCGTATGAAGCTAGTCGGCTGAGTTCATCACCCATGCGTAACAGACGCTCCTCCTGGAGAAAATAAAAATAAAAACAAAAACAAAACAAACTGTGACACAAGATAGGCAAGATAAGGATAAGATTTGGAAAGTGTGACACAACAATTTCTGAGGGTATTTGGTCGGAAAAGTAAGCAGACAAAATTCGCCCTTGCGAAATGGAATTGAGAATTCCTAGGAATTCCTAGGATTTTCCTAAGAATTGCTAAGAATTTATTCTTAGGAATTCTTAGGAATTCTTAGGAATTCCTAGGAATCAAGGTGTGAAATTTCACGGTAATTGGAACATGGAATTCCTAAGAATTCCTAGGAATTCCAAGCTTTGCTCACCCATCTGAGTTGGCTTGGAAAATATTCCTAGGAATTCTTAGGAATTCCTAGGAATTGAAAGAATATAAACAGAATGATTACTTCTTAGGAATTCCTAGGAATAGCTTGGAATAGCTAGGTCAATAGGGATGTAACAAATCGACCTGCTGCCGGAATTAAGGGATATTCGAATCAAAAACTGATTTGCATTTAAACCCTTATGTTAAGGAAGTTAGTACTAGAAGTTGCTATTTTGCTCTCCGAACCAGAAATCCATAAGGCAAATGTACAAAAACTGAAACAATGTTTATTCCAGCAATGACTAAAAAATAGCTCTCCATGTTAACAAAAAATACTTCTTCTGCTTTAACTTGACTTAAAAATTTCACTGCACTGATCGTTTAAATGTTCCAAAAATTACAAAAGTGACCTCAAAAAATCAAATTTAAGACAATGACTTTTTGTGAAGTAGGAACCAAATAATTCAGTATAATGACTGTAGTCCTTATATACATATGAATAAACTTAGATATAGATATACTTACACATAGATATACATGTAGTGTAAAGTAAACTATCGTTATAGTCATGATTGAAAAAAAAATGTAAAACATAACCTGTTCAGGTGGAATCTCTAGATAGTGAGATAATGTAAAGTAACATATACCTAGTCATGATTGAAAAAAAATATAAAAACATACCCTGTTGGTGGAATCTCTAGATAGTGTTTTTTTTTAATCAAAATGACAATATCAGCTGAACAGCATTCTCTTTTTTTGTAATTTATTTTACCCAACATACACATCACCACATTCCACATACATGCATGTAAATAAACATCTTCGAATAATTAATACAGTGCATGAATATAAAAAAAAGCTAAATGACTGCTTTTTCCAATGTTGCCGATGCAGCCTTCTGAACTGAAGGTCCACACATCAGGCAAGTGCTAGTGCTAGTTGTTTTTGACCTCACTATTGCAGCGATTATTAAGATTACATGTACCAGAAGCATTTATATAAAACCTTATATGCAACTTATACTATGAATTAGAGTTCAAATGAACAAACCTACCGGCTGTATTCTAATATTTTATATGTAAGTTCAAGTCTCAAGTCCTTATAAATTAACTGGAAATTACATTGCTTCTAACTTGTATAAGTAGCCATTGGAAACTTATACTTATTATGCTATTTCTTCTCCTATTTTATCTAACATTGGTCTTGACAAGTCTGCTATAACCTTGTAGCGCCAGAACATACAGTTTTCAGAGTATTCCACTGACTATTTGCAACAAAGAGTACAGTTATTTCGATCTGCAGTAAACAAAAAGCAGCAAAAAGAGATCCGATCAATGGCATATATCTTTGCATGCATCTTTGAACTTTATAAGCTTATTTACGCAAAGTTATTACAAAACATACCTTTCCACATTAATCCAGCTGAGTAAACTCACTTGCAAACATGCTTTATGTGAACACAAACTCCGCAATTGATCAATTTGTCTCGAAAATAACATGGATAATAGAAAGACACTCTTACGAAAATACTTTGTTGCTTGTGAAGTCCGCGTGAATTTGAACTATTCAACGGAAGTTCATTTCACACTTTTCTATTGGTTCAAAAGTCGCACGTGACAAAGTAAATCAAATCGCGCATGTGCCAAAGGCACGCGTGGAAGCCTGGGAAACAAGAAAACATGGCGGCTAATCTTGCGACGTGCTCCCGTTTGGGTCGAAATAGCAGTTATTTTCAACGTTAATTAAGATGAAGCAACGCATTTGAAGTGTTAAAAGCAAGAGGTAAACTTAACGTTGTTCTTTTAAGTTGGGAAAGAAATGTTGGACCACATTATCAAAGAACTGCGATGAAAAACGTGTTGTGGCCGTTGTTCCGGGCTTGGCCGGGCTTGCCATGCTTTTGACTGCACTCCTGATGCAAGGGTTGAAGGGAATCAAGACAGCCCATGTCTTGTGCGTTTGCCTAATTTCCGTGGAGTACGTGGATAAACAACGTACATTTCAGACTGGATATGCACTTCATATTTTTAAAAACGAGACTTCTCATTTCAGACAACATTTTGCACTGAAAGTGTACTGGACATGTAACAGCTTTAAATATTTATTGCTGTAATATGCTGTAATAATGTAATTTAGATAAGTTAAATTGTTATCTTAATTTAAATACTGGTTGGAGGTTTGTGAACAGCATTCGCCACATGTCAGCATTACCAGATTAGGTAAAAAAATTGGGTTGAATATAAAAATGTAAGTATAGAAGTATTGTACAGTACCGCAAATGATCCCCAACCGCAAATGATCCCGAGACCGCAAATGATCCCCAAAATGGACCGCAAATGATCCTCGACCGCAAGTGATTCCCAAAGTCGACCGCAAATGATCCCGAAAGAAAAATAGGAATGACTTGGACTCAAGAGTTGGCGGATCATCGTGTCGATTTTATTGTTATTACAAAACGACAGATTAAAAGCTAAATTTTACTTCTCAAATAAATCTATGAATAAAAACTAAATGAAAAAAGAAAATCATTCAAGTGTAAAAACGAAGTCGGTAGGCAACAGAGGACTTTTACCTCATGCTAAAATCCCGGATCCGAATAATTATAGGCGGTTTTCTTTTTCGTCCATGAATGTGACGGTTTCCTACGATGTTTTGTCATGCAATAACTACCGCTTACCTTACCTCAATTTCAATTTTCTTTCAAGAATGTTTCGTCGCTGAAAAATTTAAGACAGGCAGGACGTTACGCAGAAAGACTGTATTATTTTAACGCCTAGAAGCTGAGGAATACAAAGCCGGGCACCCTCTACATAACAAGATCTTCATTGACTTTACTGATCTTTTTGAAAGTGTGAAATTAATTTTCAGAATATTTAATTTTGATTTTTCTCTGAAGTGTTAATTTTACGTGATAAACAGCAAGACATTTGTTCGTAACTTAGGTGACCGTTACGAAACAAGACATGATTTAACACAAACACAAGTCAAAATGCCCCCGAACTTATCAATGTCCACAGGTTTCTGTTTATTTCCAAATTGCAACTTTCTTACAACTCATGAACATGTTGCGAATAGTTATATTGACGCTTTTATGTATATTCATTTGTTTTGCCTTTGCTGGAGACAGTTACCAGGAATCTAAACCTGGTAATGAGAAACGCAAAAGTGAGGTAAGCGATAGTTACCGCGTGACAAAACATCGTAAGAAACTGTCATATTCACGGACAAGAAAGAAAACCGCTTATAATTATTCGGATCCAGGAGGCACTTTGGAAAAAAATAAACAACCTAAAACCCTTAATTAGCGGCAATGAAGGGCACTGCATTTCAAAAGAGGTCAAAGGAAATGCTCTTGCATCAAAGAGCAAATCATGCTGACCAGAAACAACAATAACCGCAGAAAATGCGTGTCATGACCTCTCAGTATGAAATAAGCAGCAAAAATTACATTTGCTCAGTCAAAACGTTTTGCTCCGAGGTATAATCTACCCGCCAGATCCGGAAAAAATTCATTGGAACAAGCAGCATTTTAGCATGAGGTAAAAGTCGTGTGTTGCCTACCAACTTCGTTTTTACACATAAATGATTTTTTTTTCATTTAGTTTTTATTCATAGATTTATTTGAGAAGTAAAATTTAGCTTTTAATCTGACGTTTTGGTAATAATAATAAAATCGACACGATGATCCGCCAACTTGAGTCCAAGTCATTCTTATTTTTCTTACGGGATCATTTGCGGTCGACTTTGGAGATCACTTGCGGTCGAGGATCATTTGCGGTCCATTTTGGGGATCATTTGCGGTCTCGGGATCATTTGCGGTTGGGGATCATTTGCGGTACTGTACAGTATACATTACCAGTATGTTCTGTATTATAAGTTTAGAATTGTTTCAGTACAATCACTTAAAATTAAAATGTGAATAAATAAGAAAAGACTACGAAATCTTCGACAATTTTTAAAGTCTTTCGGACTTTTAAACATCCCTGAGCTGAATTCCTAATTTGCATAACTTAGAATTCCTAGGAATTCCCAGGAATTCCAAGCCCAGTTGGCCTGAATTTTTCTATTCCCAGAAATTCTCAACAATTCTTAAGCTTCTAAAATTGCAAAAATTCCAAGCCTAGAGTGAGACCTAACTTGCCATTCCCAAAAATTCTCAAGAATTCCAAGCTTATTTGATGAAGGCTGATTTGCATAGTTGGGAATTTTTGGGAATTCCTAGGAATTCCCAGAAAGCTGGGAATTCATTTCGCAAGGGTGATTTAATATTTTACACTAAAATTGAGAATCGTACACGATGTAAAAAAGGATAAATTTCAAGGTCAAAAACAGAACAGAACGTTTTCTCGACTTTATAAAGGCATAAAATTCATCGGTTGGATCTTTTGGGCCCTTTTACAGACCCAAATGACAGATTTCCCTACCCTTTAATACACATCAACGAGTGAAATCCCTACCCTTTCATTTACCTGATGGCTGAAAAAGATACCCCTATCACAAGGAGCCTCCCTTTATAGGCAATCATTGGGAGTGCACCCCGCCGAGCTTGGCTCCCCAGCTTACATACCATCAACCCCCCTAGAAGGTGGAGTTCAAAGAAGCTTACCAGATCTTGAATGCTTTGCTCCCCTGTTATCTGCACTGGACCATTAATCCATCCACCTGTAAATTCAGGAGACAATAAACATGAAAGTCTCAGCATTATTATCAGGGGGGACAAGAGAGGGTGCTTAACTTCCTACCTCTCATACCTTGCATTACTGGCCCCTGCCCCTTTTTTCTTGCCTTCCTCCCCCAGTGGGGTATTTCTGGGAAATCTTGGTGGGGATGTGCCACCCGGTTCTCAAACTCCTGATCTTATTTCAGACAAAAACTTTCATTACCCACACCTGTTTTCAGACCTAAAAATTAATTACTTACATTTGTTTAAAATCCATTTCAAATTCGCATGTTATCCTGCTTTCTTGTTCATTTGGAATTAAAATGACAAATACATTTATACCCTCCCGTAGTTCCCTTGAAAACCATTCCTGGTTCCAGACCAAAGTCTACAAAGTCTATACGCTTTTTCAGACTGAAACGGCCCAATAACCCTACCCTTTGAGGCAGTACATACCTATATGGCTTCTAAAAGGGAGTACCATCCCAGGGTTTCCTCCCTTTAGACTTTTTTCAATTGCAAAATATTACACGCAAGCTCTGACTTCCAGCACTTTTAGACACCCCCCCTCACCCCACTCATATCCCTCATATCCCTACTACTACCACTACCACTACCACTACTACTACTACAGTGTACTGCATAAATGTAATTGTCCTTATTCCATGCTATGTCTTTTTGTTAAAATTCTCGCATTCATATGGTTAAGTCTGAGTGTAGTAAAAGCTACCAAAAAATTGCTCCAAGGATTTCATTTTAAAAATGGTCTTAAATAAAACCATGAAAATCCACTGCAAATAAAGCAAATAAGCGACCAAAATAAACAAATTTTTGTAATTTAACTCCAGCAGAACTGCAGACTGGCCAGACTAGTCCAGTCATATTCAGAAATTCATTTTCAATCAAAAATGACCAACTTAATTAGTCTATTCCTAAATAGTATACAGGGCAGTGTACCGTTTTTGGTGAACATTCCCCCCGAAAACCTTATTTCCTCTCATTTCTTACTTTTGGACTAATCTCCTTAACCTTCTTGCTAATGGAAATGTAATATATTCTTCTTTGGCTGCCCAACTTCACTTAAACATTTTTTTAGTTACTCCTTTCCCCTGTATTTTGCACTATCATATAATATTGTATATTATAGTTTTAGGGGGGCAATCATTCAATCCCTTCTTCTACAGAAACCAATTAAGTGGCTGTGTTCATTCACCGAAATGATCTTAAGAAAATCCGGAATTAACAGGGAAGAGCGTGCGAGCACGATGTCAGACGGGAATGCATGGAATAAGATCATTATTCACAGCATCCCAACTGAAAAGACTAGATGATAATAATGATGATAATGATGATGATAGTTACCTCTAGCAACAGGAGGACCAGGTATCCTTTCTCTGCCAGCAGAGCTGGGTCGAGTCCTGGTAGCACCAGCACTTGTTGGGCGAGATCTCAGAGGAGGGTGCGGCATAACATTAGCCTGAAAAACAACCACACTACAATAAGCAAATCCTGCCACAGAGTTAAGAAGACTTATGGGAGAACCTAGTTTAGTGAGTCCCTTATAGAGCATGGTCTAGTAACGAGAAGATCATAGTTTCTACTCCTTGCCCCTTGGGAGCACTCAGATTTTTTTTCAGAGCTGCTTGTGTCATTAGTAAATAAACACCTTGTGACAGTATATTTGTTACAACTAGGTCAAAATTAAATTCAGGATAAAATTTTAACCTGGGCTGGTTCTCAATTTTCTTTGTCTCCTAGCCCTAAATGCATGAATAATTAGGGTTAGGAGACAAGGAAAACTGAAAATCAACCTTTTACCTGAATTTAATTTTGACCTGTACCATATATACCAGGCCTCGAATTCGCAATCACATTTCTATCACATATCAATATTCTAGTCCACACAGTATGGAATGTTTGTCACATGAACTCAGTTTAGTAACCTTAGCTCCCATGAGTCTCATGTAGCTTAGTGGTAGAGCATCTGAACTAGTAACCACAAGGTCATAGGTTTGACTCCTAATGGGAGTACTGGGTTTCTTCTTTGAATAATCTACCTCAGCATCTTTTAATTTCAATTTCACCAAATATCTTCACTTGCCTGTCAGGCAAATTAAGAACAGAATTCACTAGCCCCAATCACAAAATCCACTAGCCCCAAGTTATCAGACATGACTTTCATTGCACACTGGCATTCAGAAAACTTACTAACCTTTGGATCAGATGGGCCTCTTACTTCTGATACTGAGCCACCAGTCCCAGGCAAACTGACTGGTTCAGTGCTTGTATACAGTGGTAAACCATCAGTACTCACTGGTGTCACAGTGTTGATATAAGGAAGGGAGGTGACTCCACCTGATGGTAATGTTGCCATTGGTGATGACAGAACACGGAGTCTGTATGATTCCCATGGCTTAGACAGACCCAAGGATGGGTAATGAAGTGTTGAGGATGAATCAACAAGAAATTCAAAACCTGCATTTCCTGTTTAGTTGTATGCATGTTAAGGAAGTTGCGTAATCAAATACAAGGTATGCACTGTAAATTCATTTAACTAGTATATGATTTGAGCAAAATATCACATATCATCAACTGAAAAGATACAACTCAGTTCGACTCTGACTATGACTTAAGGTTGTCGAAACGTCAGTCACTGTCAACAGCTGAGTCATATTGGGGCAATAATTAGGACTACACTCACCACACACTTTCTTTTACTGTTGTTGTCATTTTTAAAAGGATACCAAATCCAAACCTTATCACATCACCGGAGGCAAGTCTCACAGCTGCATTCTGTACTCGACAATCATTTACATAAGTACCATGAGCTGAGTTTAGATCTTGAACCACAAAACAACCCTCTGCCTCATTGTATTCTATAACGGCATGCTGCCGCTCCACGTTAGAACACTATAATAAAAAATAAAGGAAAAAGGTAAACTACACTGTAAATTTCATTGCCTTCCATAGCAAGCAACTGGGCACCTGGAAGTTACAAATAAGTTGTAAATTACATAATTATTATTTATTAATAAATAAAAACTAAGAGTAACCAACAACAATCTTTTACCAACAAAATCAGTGCATTATCAAGAGAAGGTTATGAGAATTAGTAAAATGATCACAAAAGAGAAATGCTTTGATCCTTTATCAAATTCTCTCGACTTAAACTCTTTAACAAAATGTATGGAGATCAGTCTAGAAAATTTGTATTCGAAAATAAGTTTGAACTTCAAAGGCCCAGTTAATACAGCGTAACCTCTCCCTACAAACACTTGTCTATTGCAGATATTAATTTATTATTAAAATACAAATATCAGACAACTCAACTACCACACAGTTAGCCCCTGGGGCCCTGAGTTGCTTGAAGGCTGATAATTTAGCACTAATGTGGGGTTAAATTTTAATCTGCCAGTGGGTTCCTTTATCTTTTGTTCAAAATTGTTGTCAGATAATTATTTTGACTTTCAAAATCAAATTTTGGCAGTAACCCTGCGGTATCTTAACCCAGGTTTGAACATTACCAGGCCCAAACTACTACAATGTAGCTCCCATTTACTTTAAAAATTAATTTGATGAAAGAGCAAGAAAGTTCTGCTTAAAGTTACACTTTATGATCAAGCATATCCACTATGTAAAAACTAAACTTTTAGACCAACTAGCTTTAATTACCAGTCCCCAAAATCTTAGATATTACAATGCAACTAGCTTAACCTACCTCTTTCACAATTTGTCAAAATGTTGAATAGTGCAACTAGCTTAAACAATACTTATCATTAAAATGTTAACTGTAACCCTGTAAATATGCGGGGAATTTTATTGATTACATCTTTCAAAAGAAGTTAAGTTTTTGTCATGGCTTTTGGAGGGGGACATGGAGGTTTTTGGTATTTGGTGTTTTTGGTGGTCACATGACCAATAAATGGGACTTCTTTCCTTCTAAGCTGCAACTTGTCGCTGTTCAAATGAACTCCGCGCTCATCACATCTCTGAAGAAACAATAGAAGATTCCTGTCATGATCCTTAATTGCAGACTACCACGATTCACCATAACCGACAACAACAAAATCATCCGCGATGACCTCAACACCCCTCAACCCTTCAATCAACTCATGCATTTTACGCTGAAACACTTCAGGTAAAGATCTGATCCCGAACGGCATCCTTTTCCAGTAGTATCTCCCAAACGGTGTATTAAACGTAGTACAAAACGAAGACTCCTCATCAAGAACAACGTGCCAGAACCCGTTGGAGACATCAAGCGACGTGAAAACTTAAGCTCCGTGAAGATGGGAAGCTTTCCTCAATCGTAGGCATGGGATAGTTTTCCCGCTGCAAAGCACGATTAAGATCCATCGGATCCAAACATATGCATAATTTGCCATTCTTCTTTGGTACGACAACCATCAAGCTGATCTAAGCGGTTGGCATTGTCACTCAAGCAATAATTTCACGCTTCTCTAAATCTTCCAGGGTCTCTCTAAGACGTTCACGGATCGCAATTGGAACTCTGCGAGGAGGATGTTGAACTGGCCTAGCCAACTCATCCAGCACCATGTGGTATTCATGCACCCGCAAGAGCACCCATGCCATCAGCAAAGACATGAGGAAAGCTCTTAATCAGCTGATCAGCAGAGACTGGGGAACTGGCCGGAACATCTAGTGTATAAACTTCACCATCGAACTCCTGAGGTCGGTTTAACTGGTCATTGTCTAGATATTGGATAATGTTCATTCCCAGGCACACTTTCCTGCCAAGAATAGGTCTGACTTTCTTGCTGTCAACCAAATTGCAGTCAAGCAGGCATCTGAAATGTCCACGCCATACACGCAAATGAACTTTCCCAAGGATAGGAATTGAAGTACCACCATACAAAATGATCACCATATTGACAGGGGTCACATTGCACAAATCAACATCGTTAGTGGCTTTCTTGTATAGATGCAAAGGAACAACATTGCACCGATCTCCGGTATTGGGCTGAAAATGAAGATAATTTCCAGATTCCAACTTCGGAATTACCAGTTGAGAATCATCCAACATTACAGCCACAATTTCTTCCACTCAAAAACTTCGTCCGAAAGCTCATCTTTGAAACGATCGATACACAGGATGCGTGTGAGTCATGGGCTTTGGCGCACATCCAAAACATACCTTCGCAAAATGATTTTTCTTGTCACACTTATTGCAGGTCCTTCCAAAAGCTGGACAGTTCTCACGCTTCCCTAAGTCATGCTCACGTCCGCAAAATTCACAACAATTTCTCAACGTGTTAGCATTTCTTGAGCCACCACTGCACCTACGTTTCCCTTTTTTAGGCTTTTTAGACACAGCATTCACGTTTCCAGTATCTACAATGCTTAAACCGGCATCGCCAACTGAACCCTCATCTGCTGTACCATGGTCTCGTGAGAATGACAAATCTCATCAGTTTCCTCCAACGACAAATTCTTCTCACGAAGAAGCCTCTCACGAACCTTTGAATCGCGAATTCCAAACATGAGCTTGTCACGTAAAATCTGATTGGGGGTAATTGATTCGAACTTGCACCTTTCCACTAACTGTCGAAGAGCTGTCTGATAGTGATCGTAAGACTCTCCCGATTCTTGCATTCTAGAATAAAACTTATATCTTTCAAAAGGCACATTTTTAAGTGGCTGACAGTACGCTGCAAAATTTTGTAACACAGGCTGAATCTTGTTTTGGTTGGTGTCGCTAGCCCAATCCGAAAACATAGCAAAAACTTTCCGCACTTCAGCTCCGACTACGGAAAGCTATGTTGCAACTTGTACAGCTTTAAGTTCCTGATTGAACTTCATGGCAATTGAGTAAATTCTTCCAAGCTTCAGCTCAAACTCCTTCCACTTTTCTGCTGCGTTCGAATCATGAATATCAAGCGGTGGAGGCCATGGTAAAACAAACAAAGCACTCCTAACATTTGACGTATCTGCAGACGAATTCGGCAATGCACCGGCCCCTTCACCTCCCCGCATCGCAAGTAAAAAGTAAAACACGTAGGTTCGCTACAATATTCCTGACACCATGAAACACTTGTGAGAGACAGCAATACGAGGGAACTAAGCTCTCTTTAATAAGACAAGAAGTAACTTAAATATCACGTTGACACCTTGTGTAACCCTAATGCACATATCAATGTAAACCCCATGGGGGGGAGTGAGGGCAAGGGGTGGGGATTTGACAAATTTTAAAATTTTTTGATCAAACTACCCAGGGTGGGAAACGAAAGGTCAATCAAAAGTGTCAAAAAAACCCCACCCCAGCGGAAAAAATCTAAACAAACAATACTATAATAATGTATAAACCAAATTAAAAGAACATTTCAAAAGTACGTCCTTACTAAACGTAAGCTCCGTTAAATTACTCACTGTAATTAAGTATTTTCTCTCTCCACTAGCATCTCTTATTTTGAACAACAAAATCACTCTAGGAAGATTGACCGTGCTATTATAATATTAATGAAGCATAAAATGCTTTATAACATTTGCTCAACATGTCGGAACAGGTCGGATTAGTGACCCGTAAAAAATCCTCTGACTTTCATGGTGGAATTCGATTTCAATTGAGTTTTACAGTCAGATGGGAACTTGAAGATAAAAACTTTCTCAAAATAGACATTATCTGTTTAGATGACAGTTTAAAGTATCGGATTATGGCGATTAAAACAAATGAAAACTTCACACCTTTCTCCAACAGCATGACTTTCAGAAAGCCTTGAGGGATGGATTTGGTAACCGCTTCTGAATTGATACCAGGCTTCCGTCGGTCAAAGTCAAATGTCCGGATCCTGGGGTCGCTTCGCACGATCAAAAGCCTGACAGGGGAATAGTCTCAGGCATCAAATCCCCGCCCCTTGCCCGCACTCCCTCCTCAAGGGATTTACATTGATAGGTGCATAATCTTAATAATAAATATAACAATGTACGCTTGGCACTCTTCACAATTGCAGAATTGTCCCCCTCCTTTTGTGCCATGATGGATATATGGACATTCCCGATTTTCATATTTATTTCCTTATCACACAACAATCCTTTGTGAGTAATACACCCTCATTACAGATTATTAATATTATTGTTGTTGTTGTCTACTTAGCGATCTTAACATTTTCTCATTTTAACAGTGAGTGAGAAAACTTTAGGCAAAGATGATTTTTAAGGCATTAAATGGTCTGCTGCCTAGCTACATGGCAGAGACAATTTTAAGATTCAGTGGAAAAGGAATTTAAAGGTGCCCAGAACTAAACAATCATCGGACAGCGGTCATTTGTGTTCAGTGCTGCAAGCTTGTGGAACAGACTTCCCAAGTAGTTGAAAGACTCTACCTTGACGTCTTTCAAAAGCAAACTTAAGCGAATTGAAGTTTGCAAATTGTAATGGACAATCCTTAGCAATTCCTTAGTTCATTTATCTTAAAATTTTCACCTATGAATCATAGCTTCTTGATTGATTATTGCATTTTTTTTCTGAGGGCCATGTGTAGATTATCATGAGATATTAAGTGCTACCCTCGAAAAAAAGTTTCATTATTATTATTATTATTAGGTGAAACCTGGTTAAGTAAACACTGTAGTTTTTTTCAGAATTTTTCCATTATACCTGACCCTAACCATGCAATTAGCATACAGAGAAAATTCTCTAGTTTAACCTGAGAATAGATTTTATGTGCAATGAAAAATTCCAGCCTCTGTAATATGACAATAGACTCTGTCCCTTTGGTGTCCATATCAAGGAGGTTTCACCGAATCATGTGATGTAAACTAAATAACTGGTCAAGTTAGGACTAGGTTGGTTAGATTTTGACGTGGGAAATAAATAAATTGAATTGAAGTTGAAAATTCTTGCCATCTTTAATAAGAGCTCTCGAAAGAAGTACTGTACTGTGAATTGATGTTGAAGATTTAAGTGGTGTTTCCAATCGTGTGTAATTAGTATCCGAGGCGTATTTCAACAACAATCGGAGCAACCAAATGCTACGCTTCAATGTGATCAAAGACCCTAGAGAAAATTTAACACGTATATCGAGGTTGTTCACAGCTATTGAAAAAAAATTACTATGGAAGTTTGTTTGAAGACAATTTCGAACCCGATATCTGTTTAACTAAGTTAATTAGCAGCTTAAAATTGCGACTCAGTGACCTGTGTAGTTATTCACGAGCGAAGAAAACGAAGCTTACTTTTTCGAAACTTTTCCTAAGTATACTGACAGATTCAGTCAATAAATAAGACGGTTGTAGTTCCTTAGAAGTTATCACTGCTCTATCGGTATGTCTCGACATTATTCTAATTTTGAAAAACTAACAGAGATCGTAATAATTATTTAGCTAATCGTTACTAACCTGAATAATCACATCGCTAGCGCTGCCTTCACATCCTATTGTTGTGATTGGGTGCCGGAGTTGGTGTAGACAGCTTCCATCTCGTGAACGAAGACACGCTTTCATTGAAGCACTAAAAGTCTCATCATATACCGCTAAAATACTTCCTTGATTGTAATAAAATTAGATTCAGAACGATTATAAACATTCGATCGTTCTTGATAGCATTCCAAAATGGACGGCAATGTTCGCGTTCGGCGGTTGCTATGGCCACTGTGGTTTTCTCGACCCAGTCTCACTCGGTGAAAAAAAACTTAAAAAAGGCGCGAACATAATCGAGGCAATTAATCGAGGCTAATGGGGGTAACCCAATTCTTAGTTAACAACTGTTTTTTCGGCCAAATATACACTTAAAAACTGTCTACAACTTAATCAGTTAACTACTATTTTTTTGGCCAATTCTCAGTTAACTACTATTTTGGTTAGCTATTAACTTTCACTTTCCTACAGCGAATATTTTTTCGTCATAACCCGAATTTTCCTTCTTGCAGCAAGTCAATCACTTTTGGGGGTAGGTCCTAATAAAATCAAGGTATAAATTCACATGAACTCTGCCACTAGTACAATTTATTAGTAACTGAAAACATAAGTCGTATAATTACCAATATGACACCAGCCTCATAGATCCAAACGCACCAGTCATGATCTCGTACTGATCTTCCCGACATGGTCATGCATGTCCCGCTATAAACTACTTCAAAGTCACCTTCCTCGGCACTTTCACTATCTGATCGGAATCCGTCTTGTACTTATCTGGTTGCTGTATGTCCTGTATCGTGTTGTTGGCCTAAGTTTCAATCCATTTTTAATCCTTGCAATCCATTGCAACAGACGACGAGAAACATTATCAATGCCAAAATAATTCAGGACTACGTTCACCCGGACGAACAAACTCAACCTACTTTTGATATGACTCCTAGGTTCAAACCTTTCACAAAATATATAGTCTTAAATAACAAAACTGAACCATTATTTTTGGAATTCAATTGGTGAATTCAATTACTGTTTGCACCAATGGGAGAGACATAGTTGAGAGTGCTGACAAAGGCATGAAAGTATTTGACACGGGACAATTCGACTTTTATTTCGTGAGTGTATCCCTCTTCGAACTCGTAGTTCTTTTAAGCGATTCCTTTACTGTGGTTCCAAAGTCTTGGGCGTAGTTCAAAGCACTAAATGTGTTGTGTTGAAGTGAGAAACCGCATGTAGGTTTTCCACCTACGTTGTCAGAAGTTTTTTTACCTCGATATAGGTTTTTTTCGACATCCTCGTCTGCGTCCCGCAATGTTACCTTTTTCGCAGACGTACCTTATTCGCATATTTCAAAGCCTCATAGAAGATATCCAAGGGTTTTAAGAAATGAAACTGCCGCAACTGTTTCAGTAAGACCGGTTTAAACACGAGCTTTTCTTTCTATTAAAAAAGTCTCGATAGTTAGAACTCCAACATCAGTTACAAAAATGATTTCTTGTAAGTACAAATTCTATGTACTTGAAAGAAAGACTGCTGATTTCTCAGGGGCACCCAACGAGAATATAGTTCAAAACCACTTAAACATAGCATTTTTAAACGTGTTTTAGTATTTAAACGGTGGATATGGGCATATTTTTATCCCCTATAAATTTTTCAGCTGTTCGGATTTCCTAGCTAAAAGTCTAGTGATCCGAAAATTATAGGGATCAAAACTTACCTTTTCGAAAATTTCAGCTAAAAAAAAGCTCCTGAAAATTCTAGGGGACCTTTTTAGGGTAAAAATCCGTTGAAAATGGGCAATTTTACCATTTTTTAGATGTTCGAAAATCCTAGGAGAGGCAGGCAAGCAAGAAATTTTAAACAGATATTTTTCCGAAAATTGTCAGTTGGGTGCCCCTGACTTCTTTGAACCCTCAGAAATTCTTTTTAGCCAGAACCAATGCTAAGAGTCACAGCTTTTTTATTTGGGTAATGTTTAACTTGACGATCTTTTGGGTCCGTGAAAACAGTAATTTCCTTTTCCGAACACAGAAATCTTGTTAATATCAGAAGAGGAATTATTCGTTGAGCTGTCTACAACCAACTCTTTGACTTACGCTTTCTGTTTGTCAGGTACTGCCCTGGTACCTTTTGCACATAGTAATATCAAGTAATAGTAATATCAAGACATGGAGTCAGAAATCTCCCCCAGTGTACTGTCGTCTCGATTACTGGTTGATATCTAACAATCTGAGCGATGTTGTTGAATTGACCAAAATAATCCCAGCTGCACGAACAGATCATGATGCAATTTCTTTAGAACTGGGAAAGTTAGAGAACGAATTGAAAGGGCCAGGAAACTGGAAAATGGAATGCTAACTGTTACATGATGAAGAGTACGAAGAAGATATAGCCAGGATGATTCCACTTTGGACAGCGGAAGGACAGAAAGAATTTACAGATAATCGAATGATATGGGATTGGGTTAAATATAACATAAGAGCTCATGCTATTCAATACTCTAAAAGAAAGGCAAAAGAAAGGGTGAAAAAGGAACTTGACCTTCAGGAAGAATTAAGTAAAGTAAAAAGGATAACAAAGAAATAAAAGTAGAAAACAAGCCGGTTTATTATAAACATTATGTCAATGCGAGAGTCATTTGCATTCAAGATCTTTTACTTAGTCTGGACAGTACTGATTCTTATAATCAACCGTCTAAAAAAGTATGCAAAACAAATATTTTAGAATGGGCTGGCTTACGAAGGTCCATTCCATTATCGTTAAGAAGTTATGACAGGTATTCTTCCATAAACTCTCCAACATTTGTGGTGGGTGACAATACTTTTGATGTTACGAAAGGGAAATCAAAGGATTACTACAACCTACTCATCAGAGAAAAAGCTAAACCGCTCAATATTATTAAAAAATTACAGAGTAACTTTCATTTTAACAGCGACAATCTGAAGCAAATATTTAAGCTGCCCCACTCTATCGTTGTCGAATCGTATGTTAAAGCTTTCCAGTACAAGGTAATTAACTCAATTCTTTACACAAATAGAAAGTTGTATAAAATATGCTCTTTCTGTGACAATCAACCCGAATCATTAACTCATTTGTTCTATCACTGCTCACGCTCTAAACAGTTTTGGATTCAATTTGAGCTTTATTGGTGCCTTATTTCGAATCGACGAATTCGTCTCTGCTTTGAAAATGTGCTCTTTGGAATTTTGACGGAAAATACTTGCCCTTTACTTCAATTGCTGAACCATTTTATAATTATTGGAAAACTCTATTTGTGGGACTGTAGGAGCAAACAAATCCTTCCAAACATTTATGGATTTAGGGCCAAGATCATCGCTAAATATGAAACAGAAGAAAAATCAGCAACAAAGAATTCTTTAAAAGAAAGAGGATACTAACGCCTTATTTAAGATAACTGTATTAACTCCGTATTATTTCATTGCCCGGTTGTACTTTTTTATAATCTCTTTTAGCCCTGTAATAATTTAACAATTAATTTTGTTTTACTCTGTTAATGTCTATTGTTAAAGTGTTTTTTTTTTCTGTAGTATTGTAAATGAAATTATTTAATGTCATTATCAATAAATATATTGAAAAAAAAAAAAAAAGAGCCATAGTGGCTCTTGGTAATATAAGTTAATGTGCCACCTGGTCATCAGCGGGACAGCACCCTCATAATCGGCTCCTGGCGCGAAATGAAAAAGTAGAGGAAAATCGAGGTCGTCTTGAAACAGGGGCGATCTTTGCATACTGTTAAACAATAAAAATGGAAGCGATGAAAAATGTTCGCAATGCGCATGTTTTTGACTTAAAATTATTAAAGGAATTTTATTTGGTGTTTAAGATTTATTGAAAAATTCATTCGTTTCGGGAAATATCATAAAAAACAATTTGCCTTATTTTACTTGGTGTTAACTCCTACGCATCAGCACTGATCGAACGACATCCTCTCCCGAAATGAGAAAATGATTTCTGTTGCAACTGATTCATTCTCCTTGGTCTTGTTGAAGGAAAATGTTCATTGAAGAGTTACGTTAGCCACTTGTGGCAATTGCTACGATATATGTTTGTAGTGGAGTTGTTGTAAACGTTCTTGCTGATTGGTTTGAGTAAGCTACGTCACTACTAGTAGGTCAGTTGGTTTCTAAGTTAATTGATGATCGATAGAAAGTTTCTCCTGACATTAATTCGGTGCAATGGAGATGTACCAATTTGGTGCATCTCCGCGGTAACACTTCTGTTCATGAGATATGTTTAATTAGAGCCTTTGACAGATGACAAAGCCTTGTTTATATCGAGTATTTTGTCCAGTTTAACATTTTTGACCTTAATCTGGTCTTCCTTCGATATTTACCAGGAAATGACTACCCTGCTTGTTTTTAACAGTTTTGAGCGTGTTTCTTTGAGTTTTTAACCGAATTCTTGGCAGTGGATAACTTTAATTAGGCTTAGTGATTTTATAGGTGTTTTTGTAGTTAAACAACTATTGTTTTAAATTCTGCCTTGTACTTTGAACTGCATTTTTAAGTTTGCGATCACGTTCGTGATTAGGTTATGGAAAAATTGTAGCCAATTATCTTCGATGAAGAAGCTTAATACCTTCTGTAAATTGACAACAACCTTAGATTTTCAAACTGTAATTTTAGTACTTTCCTATCTGTTGATATGAAAAGTCTGTTTACTGGTATATTGATCTCCTAGTTTTATATTGGCGGTGGCCGGTTGACTTGAGCTTAACAGTGAAAACTTCGGTTGAAGAGACATTTCGACAAAGCAATTATCTCGAAGGTTTCATGCTAATGGCACTGTTTTAACCAATCGGATTAGACTTACGTCAGCATTCTGGTTGCATTAAGTAGCTGGTTTCCTGGCTGATATAAAAATGCGTGTAACACTGATTTAGCAGAGAATTGTAAAATAGGAGTTGAGCTAACTTCGTGACATTGGACTAAAGAATAAAAAGGAGTCAGTTGAACAAAGTAATCGTCTGTTTGTTGTAAGAACCAGCTAGTTCCCCAGAAAGGTTCTTCAACAATAGTCTCCTTCGCAAGGTCCCTGCCCCTATGCGTGGGCACTGACCAGTTCTCCACATT